AAATATCTCCTGAAGTCTTCTTAAACCAAACAACAGTCTAGCTTAACTAATAAAAAATGTCTGCTGTGAACATTGTGCTCTTTTAAGGACCTGTCTCTATGGGATCAAATTGAAAAACAGCAACTGAAAAGGTTAGGTAAGAAGTGTAGGGGAAAGTGAATTTATGTCAACAGGGGAGGAACATATCAGAAAAGGAGAGTGAGAATGGTAGTACAATTTGAAGAATGTAATCCATGTCACTGTATCGTACATGTAGAAATTGTTAAATTGGTGTATGTTTTGCTGTGTATATTTTCAACAATAAAAAAAAGCATTAAGTACTTTGTCACCATGGAAATTTCTATTCATTAGGCAACAAAAAACTTGTATTTTACCCTCTGTAAAATCTCCAGTCCCTAGGAACATTTTTCTTCTTACAAGGAGAGGAACTGACCCAATTTGAAAACTGTTTATTAAATCATAGAGCAATAAAATATTGTGTTATTCTTTTGAGCTAATTTATGAGTTTATTTTTAACAGTACTATGCGTGTAAAAGGAGCCCTGGTGGTGCAGCAGTTAAAATGACCTGCTGCTAACCGAAAGGTTGGTGGTTTGAACCCACCAGCTGCTCAGTGGGAGAAAGATATGGCAGTCCGCTTCCATAAAGATTACAGCCTTGGACACCCTATGAGCAGTTGTACTCTGTCCTATAGGGTCCTATGAGTCAGATTGACTGGATGGCAATGAGTTTGTTTGTTTGTTTGTTTTTAGTTTTATGCACGTAAAGAGACATACAAAACATTAGTTATTTTACTAAATTAATAAAATGTTTATGAACCATAACAAATTAATTTTCTAAACTTTTTCTAAAGGGGCAAATCAAACAATCATCATCCGCTTCTTTTCATCCAGGATGTTGATTCAAGTAGAAATATTTTAGTCCTGTGTCTCTATTGCTGGAAAAACTCTCCAATAGAAATCCAATCCTACCATTCTCTGATGTTAAATGTTTCTTTCTTTGCATTCTGAAGTTTGCTTGTGGAAGTTAGAACCCTTTAGTTTGGCAGTTTATAGTTTGATCCCCTCTCCCACTATCTGGGCTTTTTGCTTCTCCCTTTTCCGCAGTTTTTTGTGTTTTAAATACGTTAAATTGCTGGGTTCATAATTTGTCTCACGTCCATGCCTTTACACACTGCTGTTCTCTCTGCCTGCAATGCCCATCTAATCCATACCCAGCACTTTTTCCAAGAAATTAAAGTTAGTTAGTAACCATCCACCTCTTTTCCATAGCACCCCCTAGGTACCTTGATCTCAGTGCCTGCCTGTTGCTGTTTCACTGTTCCCTCAATAGGTTGATTTGACACCGAAGTCAGGGAGTGGGCTTTGTGTTTTTTGTTGTTGTTATCTGCCATCAATTTGGCTCTTGACTCATGGCGACCCCATGCACAATGGAATAAAATTCTGCCTGGACCTGTACTATCCCCATGATTGATTATGAATTGGACCATTGTGATCCATAAGTTTCTCACTGGTTGATTTTTGGAAGTAGATGGCCAGGTCTTTCTCCTAGTACGTCTTAGTCTGGAAGCTCCAATGAAACCTGTTCAGCATCACAGCAAGACACAAGCCTCAGGTGACAGATGGGTGGTGTCTGCACTTGAGGTGCATTCGCTGGGAATTGAACCTATATTTCCCACATGGAAGGCAAAAATTTTACCCCGATCCACCAATGTCCCTGAGCCTGGCACAGAGGTGCTCTAATTAAACCTCTGTTGTATGGAAGGATGGATCCTCCTTGTCAGTCTTTTCTTGTTTTCTACTCCTCCTATGGCATGCTGGTGACAGTGATGGGACACTACTCTTGTGTATAAAATCCCAGTCAGGGCAAGATGCACAGACCCTGCCAAGCGTGAGCTAATGACCTGACTGAGCAGGTTCATACTGGGTGAGCCACTCTCACGAGGGGCATCGTATGCACTTGTGATGTACTGGCAAAGCTGGATCTGGTGAGTAAAAAAAAAAAATTTCTGTTGTGCATTACCTACTGCTGCAGCCCCTGTTACTCTATCCAAGTCTTGCCCTGCTTTCTCTGGGGACCCAGACTTCCCTCTAGCAAATTTTGCTTCATTATGTGGATTATATGAATTTTATCATATTCAGGATAAATGGCAACTGTTCCTGGAAATGTGGAATCTAGGCAGATACTGGAAAAGTTAAATGAAACTGACTGCTTGATATTAGATACAAAAAATACATAAGCAAAAAAGATGCTGTTAAGAATTAATGTTTATTTTTTTTAACTTAATTTGAATTCATCTGGCTCATATTAATATATCCTCAGTACTCAAAGAAATTTTGGAATCAGGAGGATGAAGCCTATATCTTACTACTCACTGGATCCAGGTGAATTTTCTGCAAGTGCTAGGAATTGCTTTCCTCATGTCAAAGGCATCCATGGTTCTGTATATACTATACCAAAGACTATGATGACTAATCAAACAGCCAAAAGTCTTGTCCACTTGGGGAGCAAAAGTAAGCCAAACAGACTGGCCTGCAGATCTGAAATGCATCAGAACTACTCAAGGGCTAAGTGTCCTCCACCCAGGGAGCTCGCTCTGTGACTGAGCCTTGAAAAGACCCAGAGGATCTTTATGGGGTGGTGATAATATTTTCCATGTAGTAGGCTGAGAAAGAACACAACAAAACTCATTATCCATTTTTATTTCTTACCACATACCAAATGTACAGCACTGAACACAATATTGTTGCTTTGATAGAAGAAATTTGTTTGAAGAAACAGTATACAAACAAACTGCTTCAAATTAAAAAAAAAATGCATACATCATTACCTTTTTTGTTGTTTACAAAAGACCCAATTTACAGTATTGATTGTTAACATAGTTGAAATGAAAAAAAATTTAGTGCAGATTACAAAACACATCAAGTACAAAGGAGGCAAATAAACACAAACATACTTCACAAAACATCCTGTCAAACAATCCAAACACAGATAAATTAACCCGAAGCCAAATAAAATTATAATAATAAATACATAGATTGGTAAGAGATTTATTTTAAATTAAATAAAACATACAGCAAACTTGTTAAAATATTTAGCAAATTAAACCTTTGCCTTTGTAATAAGTGAACTCATTTGTATGCATCTACCAAATACTGTATACCAAAATGTTTGTAAGTACATAACTTTAATAGAAAATTTTGTTTGGTGTCCCATTTATAATAGACAGTACATATGGTAGCTCTTTTTTTAAAACTGATTTTTAAATAAACACCATTTCTACCTAACAACAGACATCTCATTTTCACTAAACTAAGATTCAAGGAGTCGAATAAACCTCAAAGCAAAGATAAAGCCCCAGTTAATGCATTACAAGGACCACAGTTTCATGAGTGTGGATTACTGCTGAGTGTTACTTTAAATTTGTGCAGGTAAAAGTGATGACAGTGGAATATATCAAGCCTCTGAATGCCGTCACATTCAACCTAAATATCAATGAGGCTAATAAAAAATAAACACTTTTGTCATAGCACAGGAAATTAAGCCCACACTAAGTTCATGTGTACATTTACACGGAGGCACATCTGCACATGAGGCGTGTGTGCATACCAAAAAGGCAGTTTAGCTGGTTGTCTATACCTTTTTCTTAAAAAAAATAAATATAAAAAAACTTTTGAAATAATGCTTAACTACTTACAATCCCTGAAATAGACATCGCCTTTACTATAGCAACTACTAAACTCTGATCCATTTAGAAATTCAAGATTGCAGGCTCAATTTTATGTGTGTAAGTGTATATGAGCAGTTTTTTTTTTTTTTTTTTTTTTTGTGTGTGTGTGTGTGCACTTGTGTGTACTTCGTAGCACGTGGACTCCTATGGAAAGATTTTTTTATTAAATTGAAAGTTGTCTTGTTGACTAAGAGGGGACAAACCAATGTTGCCAGGGTTCAAAGTAATTACTCAGATTGGAGTAACATTTTTATGTGTCAATGTATTTTTCATTCCTTTCAGTCAACACAGTAAGATAAATGCTATTTCAGGGGATATGGTATCTACAAAATTTTCCATTTGGATGTTTTTGTATTTGCTAAGTACAAATCTACATCAATATTGTCACTTGTATATTGTACCAACATATGGCAGGAAAGCATGGTTGGTCACGTCAAGTCTTGTTTCTCATCTTGGAATAAGAGTTGCCAACTCTCTGATATGACTTGAAAATAGACGAACCTGCATCACTAGAAAAACTCATGTTTCTTTAAAACATTTCAAATAAATAAGTCATATTAACAAAACCATAGAGCCAAGTTGAATAGTTTGCTGACTGTTATATTTAATTATTGCTAACAAATTCTCAACAGGCCGTTTTCCAGGGTACTGTGCTTTTGTGAGTGCGTGATTCCCACTAGCGGGCGCCATTTGTTTTTTTGTTCCTTTTTCCTCACATCACAGCAAACATAAATGGGAAAGCCAGTGAAGGGGAGAAAAGAATGCAAATATCAACAAGACCACGGAGCAGTCCTCAGAAAAAAAATTCCTTCACACTTTTTCTTTCCTCCTTTAAACCCAGCAAGATATGTGATTTGAGAATAACATTTCTATTTAAATTCTATTGGAAAATAAATTAATAAACACACTTGTAAAAATATGGCAGACTTCAAAACGCAGTTAAAAGATAAATAACTCTTTGATTAGAAATAAATAAAATATAAAAATGTCACATTTATTTTACATATGCTTTACAAAAAAAGAGTGCAATGAAGAAATAAAAGAAAAATATATGAAAATAAATAAGATGTAATATTTGACTGCATTGCTTTTAAACCAAATAGTCTATCATAGTTTTTCTTTCTTGTTTATGTCAGCTGGGGGGAAAATTAGTGCAATGCTGCAATTGTAAAGGTATGGCAACCTGCATGCCTTAGCAGTACAGGAAACCCTACCATACTTGTGTGGAGTTACTGCTGTTGGAGACTTCTGTTGCCGGCAGCATAGTGATCCTACACGTGGATGCCCTTAACTGCCTGTTTGATACTTTCCAGCAGGGCTTTGCATTCTGGGGAATAGTCCCGTTCCAGATTGCTGTACATATCTGTAAGTGTATTTACATATGCTTCGAAATTCTGCTCACTGATAGGCCCCTGCATAAAGACAAAACACAATGTACCAATCACAGTGGCTCAGGCTGAGGCAACAGATCTAGGGATAGGGAAGGTTACCTGGGACTCAGGAGTCTGGGAGGGCAGGGAAGGATCCATATAACCAAGGGAATTTTGAGGAGATAAAGAGAGACGGAGGGAGGGTTGGGATTCATCAGAGCACTCTTTTCCCAATTAATGGGATTAGTGTGACTTGACTGTGCAGGATTTTGGTGGTCAGTCTGGAGCCACATAGAGTAGATGCTGGGCCCCTCAGGGCTACAGTACTTAGGAGGCAGCCTGGGCCAGAATTGCACAGAAAAAACTGCTTGTAGAAGGTGAGCATGGGTGAAGCTGGTGAGGATGGCTTGGTTTGTATGAGCCAGTGCCTTTAATTTCACTGGACAGGACATCAGGAATTTAGGATTTGAACAAGTGGCTCACTAACCATCTGTGTGGTGGAAAAATCTCCCTCCTCTATCCTCAGACACCATTCTGTCCATTTTCCTTGTAGCTTGATTGTGATATTCTTTCTGATTTCCATTTCTGTCTCTCCAGGTACAGCAGCAGATTTACAAAGTCAGGGTTTATCCATAACTTGTTCTTTTTTGTGTGTATTGGCATCTCTTTTGCCTAAGGTGGTTCTTCCAAGGTAGTACACGCTCAATATGTGCAACTCAAAGTGGTGAATGAAAGGACATGCATGGTTACCTCCGTTACCCCATTTGTTTTTAAAAAAAAACATGGCATGTGTCTTACTTCACAAGGTGCTTGGAAGAAGGACTTTAAGAAAGTCTATACTACTGTTGTTAGTGTTACTTAGGAAGTAAACTTTCTAAATGTGAGGATTATGTTGTTGTGCTTAAGCAAAGTACCAGTGTAAGTTATAGTGCTTTTATAAACATGATTTTCTGCTCCCTTTCCATTTCTGCCTTTGCTGTGCTGCATGTTACCTGGAGAATCCTAACTGGACACGGACTCAAGGGGCAGAGAGGACAAAGGGTGCAGTCTGTGGCTAGGTGCACCTGATGTGTGTTAGCTTTGGAAGCTTGATCACATTATAACTATCTGAGTCTCATTTTCCCCAACTGTAGAATGGGAATAACAATACTCCTTCTTTGGTGCTCTTGTAAACATTTTATGTGATAAGCCCTAAAAATCACCACACGGACTCCTTTGTATGATAACTATTATTTTTATGGCCCTGGTGAAGAAGAAAATTTTCAAGAATAGAAATTTGAGGTAACAATTAGAGAAATGTTAATAATATTAATAATATGTAATAATTATTTGAATGATGTCCATAAAACAGTAATTTCTTTTCCTTTGTGTTCTTTATTACTATATTATTGATTTTTTTTTTTTTTTTTGGTCAAAAAACACATTTGGAATTGGACTCCATGCCAGGAAGTTGGGTAAATTAAAGCATTTATTTTTGTAAAGAAAACCAATTATATTTCTTCATTAAATTGGTGCTTCTTTAAGACACTTTAGGTATAAAATACACAACTTTAGAAAACTTGTTCTAAGCATGCAGATGTTGAGGAAATTAAAGGCACTCAATAATGTAGCTTCACTTTCAAAGGTTTATTTCTATGTAGGAAAATGTAAAGGAAATTAATTTTCTATAATCCTAAATGTGTGATGTATTTAGAATATATGTTTAAATTTGGGAAATAACAATGATTTGCTTACTTTTGTACTTTTTACTCTATATGAGGAGAACTGAAATATGTTCTTCAGTGTGAAGGAAGAAGCACCAAGTCTCTTGGGAATTAGGCATTTTTTATAGTTCTTGAGTGGAGTGAATAATGTGGATGGCTAGGTCTCAGATTTTGTAAGCCATGAAATGTTCTATTTGGAACATATTTTTAGTGAGGGAGCTTTAGCCTCCAACTTTCAATCTATATTATGAAACAAACTTCAAATAAACCCTATTCTTTAAATGATTCCTCTGATAGAAAAAATCCATGGTCTTAGTACAATTTAAATATACTGTGCCTACATATCATGTTCACAGGAGGTATGTGATGAGCCACAGCAGCCCTGTGACTGCTGATGGCCTCCTCAAAGGTAAGAACTTTTAACTGCAGCCTTGTCTGCAGCTGCAAAGCTGCACTGCGAGCACAGTGATGGGACATCGCCGTTTTCACCTTGTACTCACCATCTGTGGGAGCTGGATGTCAGCAAGACTAGAAATGAGGGCTTGGCTCAGCCCGGCCAGCTCCTTCAATAAGCTCTCATTATTCTGTTCGATAAGTTTGTTCTCCTCCTCTATGGTCTTTAAGTTGCTCTCCATAGAAGTGATCTAGAATGGAAACATCTTCGGATGTGAGTACAAAAGACTTCTTCCTGAGGGAGATTCACTGGCTAAATCTCCATGCCAAGGAAAACACCTGCAGCAATGTCCCTTCACAGCGAAGGGCTGTAAGTTTTGGAATCAGGTCCCTAAATTTATATTTGCAGCTCAGACTTCTCCTGCAGTTTACAGATTCAACATTTCCGCATGGCTATTCCATAGATATCTCTAACTCAATGTGTTAAGAAGTAAACCTCTGACATCCCCCAAAGCCTGCTCCACACACAGCCCTCTTCTCTCCAGTTAGGAGTCACTCAGGCCTCGAGGTCTCCCCATGACTCTCTTTACTGCAGGCCTCACATCTCCACCTTCAAAACATCCAGACGGTGACCTCATCCCACCTGTCCTGTGATGACCCAGCAAGATCAGTGTCTTGACCATAGTCCCTCCTCAGTGTTGCCCTGATCGCTCTCTCCCCCTTTCCCCCTAAAGTGACACCATAATGACCTCTTAACATGCAAGTCAGGCTGTCTGACCCCTCAGGCTCCAAATCCTATAATAGCTCTGTGTTTCATTCAGAATAAACCAGAGTCCTTCTGAGTGGGACCCCCTCCTGTGACCCCCTCTTGTGACCCTCACCCATGAGCTCAGCCCAGACCACTCTGGCCTTGATTCAGGATGATAGCTCTTGCTTTTTCTCTCTCTGAGACATTCTTCCCCACCTGCCTGCCTCTTCCAACAACTCTGTAAGCTTTCCCTGCCATGTCTCCTTCTTGCTGAGGCCTGGCCAGACGTATTCAGTCCTGAAATCTGGCTGCTCCTCGCTCCTCCATATCTCCTTATCCACCTTAACTTTTTCTTTTTGCCATAGCAACATAGCACTTGGCACTGTCTAACATATGGCAAAACTCACTCAGTGATGGTTTTTTGATTATTGTCTTCCCCCCCATCCTTTGTAGACCTCAGGCTTGAGCACAGAGGCCTTTTATGTCACTCATGATTCCAGGAATTTCCCATGATTCCAATCCAATGCTCTAGGCTGTCTCTGTGGACCTGATCATTATTAATGGGGGAAGATTGGGGAAGATTGTTTCATTAATCCATGCAGGGTAAGGAAACCAGCACCTAGTGTCAGATGGAGTGAAGCCCTTGTCTTAAGTGCTCTGTGAAAGACTCCTGAGAGCTCAACGAGTACCATGGTGTGCAGACTCTGCCTCTCTGAAGAGCAGAGGGGGGCGAGCTTTGAGTCTGGGCTTTGTCTTATGATTCTGAGCTTTCTGACTTGTTGTAATAGTCAGTATTAGTGTTAAAAAATCCTGTACTGAAATTTTAATTTCTGTTTGGATAAATTTCATCAAAGGCTGGCTCAAGTATTACACACGAGAATGCGGAGTTGAGAAACCATTTGCATTTTTTGGGAAAAGAATCAGTTCAAGAGACTCTACATTAAGATCTGTTTCTAGGGAGGTGGGGCAAGATGGCATTGTAGTCAGATGTTTCCAGTGCACCCTCTTACAACAAAGACCAAAAAAAAAACACAAGTGATTCAATTATACATGGCAATCTGGGAGCCCTGAACATCAAAGACAGAGTTAAGGAACTGGACTGAGTGGCAGGAGGAGGGAGAGACAGTTCAGAAGCAGCGAGGAGTTGCCAGACCTGACCTGGCGAGAGCCTGAGCCTTTCAGGCCTGATCAGCTTGGGGGTGAGTGGTGAGGCAGGCAAGGAGCTGAGCTCAGGAGGCACATTTTCCATGCCAGGAGAGACCCAGCACCAGAGACTCTACACAGCCACCCAGAACCAGTGAGAAGCAGCCCTCCACGGAAGATGAGTACTTGTATACAGCTTACTGTGAGGATCAAAAACACCCCACTTAGGGAAAAACCTCTCTTTCATTTACCTCCCTACTCCCTGCTCTGCACTGGGTCCCGCCAGCTTCAGCAATTGCCGAGTACCCTGGGCCCGAAATAGGATCCGTCACATGGCTGGAGCCATTCTCCCTGCCTTGGAGAGCAAACAAATTAACAAACAGTGGAAAAAATAAACTGCTGGCTCCCCTAATCTAGGAACTCATAAGGGATCCACAGACTTTGAGTGCCTTTCCCCCTGCATAGACTTGTGCGGGCCCATCTCAACTGCGTAGGCCCTCATTACCACAATACTACAGGGTATATACCGGAACTCTAACTTCAACTGTTTCAGCTGTGAAGTGGCAGGCTCTTGACATTTGATACTGCTCTGCCCATAAAGCAGGGTCTTCACATACCCACATCAGGGGCCTGAGGACTGGTGGGTCCACCCACGCCACCTATCCACCTGCGATAGAGGCCCATGAATAAGAGGTGCCTCCCAGTTCTTACAGGCAACAGCATTAGGTGCTCATAGTCTGGCTGCAAAACCCACCCATCTACGTGCTTTAGGGAACAGGGACACGCCTTCCCCCTGGACACTCAGGGGTGGCAGTCAACCCCCTACCTTGCTCAGAGTGTGTCCCCCTGCTGCAGCCAGATGCCTATGCCTACACCAATCACCCATGCCTGTTTAGGACTGTAAGTGAGAGCCCACACCACACATTTGGTGGTTATGTACCTGGGTACCTAAGCTGAATCCATACAGAAGGAGTGGGTGGACTCCTGAGCTCACATACCTATAACAGATCTAACCACCTGGTGACAGAACATTAGAGCTTCAAAGGTGTCAATAATCAAACTAGCTCATACGAGCAGCCTATTTGGGCATATCAAAACAAAACAAGAAGCTAGGACACAGTAAGCAAACATAAAATAAATAAATATAATAACTTATTGATGGCTAGGAGACAACAGTCGATATCAAATCACATAAAGAGGTAATCCATGATGGCTTCAGCAAGCTCCCAAAATAAAGAATCTAGAAATTTTCCAGAGGAGGAAAATTCTGTGGAATTACCAGAAGCAGAATACAAAAGATTAACATACAGAACTCTTCAAGAAATTAGGAAGGAAACTAAGCAAAACACAGAACACGCAATAGAGGAAATTAAAAAGATTAGAGAAGAGCATAATGACAAATTTAATAGGCTGCAAAAATCCATAGAGAGACAGCAATCAGAAATCCAAAAGATTAACAATAAAATGTCAGAATTACACAACTCAATAGAAAGTCATAAGAGCAGAATAGAGGAAATGGAAGTCGGAATTAGTGAGATTGAAGACAAAGCACTTGACACCAACTTATTTAAGGAAAAACTAGATAAAAGGATGAAAAAAATGGAGAAACCCTAAGAATTATGTGGGACTCTATCAAAAAGAATAACCTATGAGTGATTGGAGTACCAGAACAGTGGGGAATAACAGAAAATACAGAGAGAATTCTTGAAGATTTGTTGGCAGAAAACTTCCCTGATATTGTGAAAAATGAGAAGCTATCTATCCAAGATGCTCATCAAACCCCACATAAGGTAGATCCCAAAAAAAGTCACCAAGACATATTATAATCAAACTTACAAAACCAAAGATAAAGAGAAAATTACAAGAGCAGCTAGGGATAAATGAAAAGTTATCTACAAAGGAGAGTCAATAAGAATAAGCTCAGATTGCTCAGCAGAAACCATGCAGGCTAGAAGACAATGGGATGACACATATAAAGTCTTGAAGGAAAAAAACTGGGAGCCAAGAATTATATATCCAGCAAAACTGTCTCTCAAATATGATGGCAAAATTAGGGCATTTCCAGATAAACAGAAGTTTAGGGAATTTGCAAA